GGTTTTTTGTTGTTGTTGTTGTTGTTGTTTTTGTTTTTGGTTTGGGTTTTGATGAGTTTGAAGCCAGCATCTCATGTAGCACAGGCTGGCCTCAAACTCATAATCCTCCTGTTGCAGCCTCCCGGACGCTGAGATTACAGACATGTGCCCCAATGGGTCGTTACTTGAACAACCAATTTACCTACCTTCCCTCCCTCCCTTCCTTCCCATTTTCTCTTTTTGTTTGAGGCAGGGTCTCACAGTGTAGCCCTAGCTCGTCTGGAAGTTGTTACCTGAATCAGGGTGACCTTGAACTCAAAGAAGTTTGCTCATCTCCAACACGGACCACCACACCTGGCCCCAATCTTTCTTCTTTTAAAAAAATAATATTATTTTATATTTGCCTTGGTACATGTGTGAGTGGGAGGGGTGGGGTCCACACATGCTATCGTGCACGTGAAGTGCACATAGAACAACTTCCGTTGGTTTGTTTCTCTCCAACTACCTTCACGTGGATCTGGGAATTGAGCTCAGATTGTCTGGTTTCTGCAGCAAGCTCATTTACCCGCCAAGCCATCTTACCAACCCAGGCCTGGATTAACTTTTTAGGCCCTCAGATCTCACATTTTCCCTCCCCAAGAAAAAATTCCCCATAGACTGGGTCCAGTTTCCTCTTGGGGTTTTGCCTAGGTTCTCCTGTCCCACATTGCCCAGTCTGGGTCATCACTGCCTGGGGTATCTGCCGGCTTCACTGTCTGCCACTGCTGTTTTACTTACCCACTCAACTCCGGGCTGAGAAAGAAAAGCTGATAACTCAGGGTCTCATACGTGGTCTTCAAGCCTTCTATATTGAACCTCATCCACAGCCCTTGACTGGTGGCTGATACTCTATAGCTGAGCCACAGACAGCTCCAAGGATGGAGTCCTGTGATCTGATGTGGTGTTGGCTGGTGTCTGCAGGACTGGATCCTAGAGTGTGAGGAGTGTAGATTTGTAGATTGTGATTGAGACATGGCTATCGGTGAGATAGACTTGGCTCATCAGGCCTTCATGGCCACTCCCTGTGGGAGAAAAGAAAGGTCAGTCATGCAGTTGGCACGAGTACCCTATCTGTGCCTCACCTCCTTAGCCTTATGCAGAAGGATGGTCCCCTGTCCCCATGGAAGGACCCTCGGTAGAATTTCCTCCTTGGGGCGCACACCAGGCAGGAAACTGAAGCCCAGAGTCTGATTTCTCAGGGTCAGTCCCTGTGTTTATTCACTCTGAACTTGACAGTGTTCGGTCAAGATTCACACATAAATTGGCAATTAAAACAGCATGGGAATATCATTATTATGAGCACTTAACAATTGCTTGAAAACATATTCTGCATTTGATTAAAGCCTAATGCATCAAATATCACATTCTCTAATCTGTTTGCTTTCTTGCTTGTTTTTATGTGTATGGGTGTTTTGCCTGCATGTAAGTCTGTGCACCACATGTGTGCTCAGTGCCTACATAGGCTAGAAGATGGTATTGGATTCTCTGGGATTGTGTTACAATTTGAGCTACCACGTGAACACTAGGAATCAAACCTAGGTCTTCTGAAAGAGCAGCCAGTGTTCTGTTTTGTTTGTTTGTTTGTTTGTTTTGGCTTTTTTGTTTTGTTTTTCAAAACAAGGTTTCTCTGTGTCTCTTTGGCGGTCCTGTAACTAGCTCTTGTACACCAGGCTGACCTTGAACTTACAGAGATCCGCCTGCCTCTGCCTCCCCAAGTGCTAGGATTAAAGGTGTGAGCCACCACCACCCAGCGCAACCAGTGCTCTTAATAGCTCCGTCATATCTCTGGCTCTAAATATCACATCCTTAAATAAGTGTATATAAAACAAAAGCATGCTTTATAAAAGTATGCGCACATATTTGCTTTTGAGGGAAAATGGTCAGTTCTCTGAGAATTTCTTTCACTGTCTTTTGATCATATTCACCCCCTCCTCTAGGTCCTCCCAGATGCACCCCACTTCCCTATCCAAACCATCAAGTCCAGTTCGTGTTAGTTATAAACTCTTGGGTGTATGGCCGCCTACCAGAGCTTGGTTGCTTTATCAAGAGCTATACTCTTAAAGAAAACAGACTTTTGCTCTCCCAGCAACCATCAGTTGTCAATAGCTCTTTTGTTAGGAGTGGACTTTGTATCTTCTGTCCTGCTCCATAGTCTGGCTTGACCACGCCCAGCTCTTATGTGTGCTGTCACTAATGTCATGAGTTCATGTGCAGCTGCCTTGCTGTATCTGGGAAACACTGTTTCCTTGTCATTCTCCACCACCTCTGACTCCTACATTCTTTCTACCACTCCCCCTTTCCCAGTGATCCCTTTACCCTGGAAGAGGGGTTAGTACAGGGCTTGGTCTTCCAAATCCCTTATTCTTTACATCTTCGCTAGTTGTAGGTCATCCTATTGATTGCCATCTTCTGCAGATAGAAGCTTCAATGATGAGGGTTGAGAGATGATTGCTCTATGGAGCCATTGAGAGTCCATTTAATACCATCTCCGTGTAGCAGAACAGCAGTATGGTCTCCCCCAGGGTCTATGACCTGCATAGACAGAGACTTGTGGCCCCAGAGTGGTGTCAGGGTTGGGATTCATCTTGTGAAGCAGGAAGTAAGTTCAGTCAGAAAGCGGTTGATTAGTAAATCCTTGTTCTTGCTATTCTGTTCACAATATCCAGAAATAGAAACAGCCTAGATGTTCCTCAATACTTGACAATAAAATGTGGTACATTTACACAATGGAATATTATTCCACCATTAAGAAAAACAAAATTATGGAATTCACAGGTAAACAGATGGAGTTGGAAACAGTCATTTGGAGTGAGGTAACTCATGTCCAGAAATAGAAATGTATTTTTCCTTCATTTGTGGATGTTAACTTTGAATCTTCAGATGTGTATGTTACATTTGGAGTACCCAGAGTGGTTAGGAAATTGACAGGTGGGGGGTTTTCAAGGGAGGGGAGATGGGATGTAGTAGTATAAAGGGATACATGGGACAATACAGGTTAAATTGAGGTGGGGTGGAAGGTAAGGATAGAGAGGAGATTGAGGGAGAGGAAAAACATCACTAAAGACTTTTTGAGAAATCATATGGGAGCTAGGTGCAGTGGCTCATGCCTGTAAGTCCAGCACTTGGAAGGCAGAGGCAGGTGAATTTCTGTAGGGTGAAAGTCAGCCTGCTCTACATAGTGAGTTCCAGAATAGCCAGGGCTATGTAGAGAAACTCTGTCTCAAAAACATAAACAAGCACGCAAACAAACAAACAAACAAAAAACATATAGAAACCCACTTTTATAGGGGCTTCCTCTCTCTCTCTCTCTCTCTCTCTCTCTCTCTCTCTCACACACACACACACACACACACACACACACACACACACACACACACGAAATGACTCTATAATGGGGTGTGCTTGTTTTCTTGCTGTAATAAAGACCATGATAGAAAAACCCTGGAGGAAAGGCTTTATTCACTGTCGTGGAATCTGTGTTGTTGTGACAAAACACCACAACCAGAGCGACTTGGGAGGAGAGGGTTTATGAGGCTTACACTTCCACAACACTGTTCATCATCAAAGGAAGTCAGGACAGGAACACACACAGGGCAGGGAGGCGGGAGCTGAAACAGAGGTCATGGAGGGCTGCTGCTTATTGGCTTACTCCTCATAACTTGCTTAGCTTGCTTTTTTATATTTATCTATAGAACCCAGGATACCACACACTATGGGCTGGACCCTCCCCTATCAATCACTAATTAAGAAAAAGCCCTACAGTCAATCTTATGGAGGCATTTTCTCAACTGAGGTTCCCTTCATTCAGATAACTCTAGCTTGTGTCAAGTTGCCATAAAACTTGCCAACCCGTTGGCTTATACTTTCATTTCATAGTTCATCACTGAGGGAGTCAGGGCAGAACTCAAGGCAGGAACTGGAACAGAAACCACAGAGAAACATTGCTTTCTGGCTGCTCCCCATGGCATGCTCAGCTTGCTTCTTACATTACCGAGCATCACCTGTTCAGGGATGGCAATGTCCACAGAGGGCTGGATCCTCCCACATTAATCATTAATCAAGGAAATCCCCCATACACATGTCCACAGAACAATCTGATGACAATTCCCCGGTTGAGAGTCCATGTTTCTACATATGGCTACGCTTGTCCTAAGCTGACAGAAACTAAGCAGCATACTGGGAAATAGTGTACCCACGCCAGACTAGACGCCACAGACTAGCAAATAAAAAGTCTAGTGCCAAGCATGGTCACTACTTTTGAAGTTGTTGGCCAATGAGGTACCATAGGCCACCAAACGTTACAAGATATTGTCAGTGCTCTTGGCTGCCTGCCAGAACTTGACAGTAAGACCCTAGTGCTGAAAACACATCACACTTGAGTCATAAGCCATGGAATCACACTTGCCCAGAAGCTTCATCCCTACAGGATACATTTGATAGTGCAGGAAGGTGCCATGCATGCCACCAGAGGAGAAATGTAAGCGCCAACCTTAACCAGCTGTGAACCCTAGAACTGTCCTAACAGCCTGGCGGTGCCCACCTTTTTTTGCTAGAAGTCTCACCTACAGTGTTACACATCCAGGAAGGGACTTCACGGAGTACTTGACATGCAGGACAGAGTGCAGTACAACAGTACTGCTGTCGGACTAGAGAGATGCCTCCATGATTAAGAGCACTGGCTGCTCTTTCAGGGTTCTGCGTTCAATTCCCAGCAACCACATGATGGCTCACTAACATCTGTGAGGAGATCGGGCACCCTCTTCTGGCTTGGAGGCGTACATGCAGGCAGAACACTGTATACATAATAAATAATACATCTAAAAAAGGCAGTACTGCTGTCAAGGAACGGGTGTCATTCTCATTCCCGTATTCCAGAAGACAGCACCAAGGAGTTGATCCAAGGGCACACAGATAATAAGAGACCTCATTGAGGTCTGAAACTCAACTTAGATAAACCTGACTGAGGTATGAGGGGGGCTTGGATGGTCCTTCAGGATGCCAACATAGTTGCATTTTACTCAAACCTTCTTTACTCGCAGGCTCCAGTAAATACAAAGACATCGACTAACTACGAAGAGGTAAGCAGACGGTGCCACAGGGACTCACACTCTTCAGTTCCCTGAGAAGTGATGTCTGGGATGATAGTGCAACTCTTCACTTGCTATTCGCCTATCCTATGTCTGAATTCCATGAAAGATGATGATAGAATATAAGATTTCAGCGCTGGAGAGACAGTTCAGTGGTTGAGAGCACTGACTGTTCTTCCAGAGAACCTGGGTTCAATTCTTAGCACCCACGTGGTGGCTCACAACTGTCCGTTGTAAAGCATGATATCTTCACACGGACATACATGCAAGTAAAACACCAATGCACATAAAATAAAAGCAAATAAATAAAAAATAAGGTCTCTGAGACCAGAGCAGGAATTATAGGATAGGTTGCTTTTATAGAACCCACTCCGCCTAAGAGTCAGAGGTATTCAAGTTCTAGTGGTGGATTTTAGGAAATGCCTGGAAGTGAGATGGACTAGGAATGCTCAGAAGCCCTCGGGTGTGCTGGAGATCTGCTGGATGTGGTGGAAAGCAGCAGCTGGGAGTGGTACTATGATGAGAAGCTGTGGGTTTGAACACTAAAATGGGAAACGGAGGGACATTATGAAGAATGATGTGCAGAATAAGAGGAAGAATGAATACATGGACTCCAAGCTCCCATGCTAGGGCTATAGCGGAGAGCGGCGCTCAGATCTGCACAAATCTGGTTAGCATAATGTAGAGGAACCCCGTAAATTTTTAGAAAGGTAAAACTTCCCACGACAGATGTCAAGACTGGGTGAATTTCATTTGTCTATCTGCCTCTCGTGGCTGGTGCTGAATACAGTGGTCACTGAAACCTTGCGTAGAGACTGTCAATGGATCAGAGCCTGGGGCCCTCTGGAGAAGGAAGCTAAGTGGGAGGGGCTGTCTTTGGGATGTCAAAAGTCCAGGAGGAGACTTTTTTGTCTTAATTTAATGATCTCTGTTGTGGCAGGGTTCTGTGACCTTTAAGGACATGGCTATCTACTTCTCGAAGGAGGAATGGACACTGCTTGATGACTCTCAGAGGCATCTGTACCACCACGTGATGATGGAGGTCTTTGTTCTCATGTCCTCACTGGGTAAGCTCCCCTCCCACTATTCTGTAAAAGCATCCTGTCTGGCTTGGCTTCTTTTCTAGAGAGAGATGTCTCCTTCCCAAACTGGTCCATGGACCATTGACTCTTTCCCCACTGTCCTGGAGTAGGAAATGCAGGTGGAAGACCTGGGCTTGGTACACTTCCATCTTCTTTCTCTTAAGTACAGCAAAGGGACATGGGAAAAAGCCTGGGGTGAGGGATCTTATGGTAGCTTCATAGAGTTCACACTGGTGGCCTCTCCATGACACTGTAAATACACGGCATTCCTATGACCCAAGTACTACTGTTCTCTGGGTGACTTGGGTCTGCCTGTGACAGGAATTGTGGCACCGATATACACACTATTTGGTGGATTATTTTGCAAGATCTCTCCAAGGGTCTTTGTCATTAGATTTCTTCCCTATGGATTGCCATGAGTTACATCACTCTGACTTGGTATGTCATTCACCTGTCCTGCTCTTTACTTTAGGACTCCTACCTTCTGGAACCCGTGAAATCACTCGGCTGGAGTCTTCAGGAGATTTTTTCATCCCTGCACTGAGATTCCTGACTCCAAGTATGTGGACAGTTGCCTCACTGCTATTATTTCAGAGCCAGGGCTCTCTCTCTCACCTATGAGTCTTGTGTGTGTTTGCCTGCTCACCTGTGGCACTATATAACACTGGTTTTTCTTGATCGTGTTGTTAGTGTGCACAAGTCCCCTGAACAGTCCGTGAATACAGCTTCTTTAGGTGTTGTATTTAGTAGGCATAGGCATAGCCTTCTGCATTGGGTTAAGTATCTCTGTCTTAAGAGTTTTTATTACTGTGATAAAACCATGACCGAAAGCAACTTGGGGAAGAAAGGGTTTATTTCATCGTACATTTTCCAGTAAAAGTCCGAGACTAAGAATAATTCAAGGCAGGAACTCAAGGCAAAAACTGAAGCAGAGACCATGGAGGAACACTGCTTACTGGCTTGCTCCTCAAGCTTACTCAGCCAGGATTAGCTGGCCAGGGATGGCACCACCCCTATGAGCTAGGCTCACCTACATCAATTTTAATTTTTAAAAAATGACCTTTGATTATTTTATGGAGGCACTTTGACAATTGAGGTTCCCTATTCTCAGATGACCCTAGCTTGTGCCAAGCAGGAAAAAAAAAAAAAACCCAACCAGGACAGTCTCCAACAATTGAGGCTCTGCAGAAAGCCATTTTCTGAGGAAGGAATTCGGGTCCCCACTACCGTTTCTTGTGCTGCATGCCGTTCCCGAGTTGTTGCTCACATGGTTTCCTAGGAGAGGGACCTTCTGGTCTCATCACTGTAGTAGGCCCTTCCCATCTCAAAATTTCTGTGGGAAATCTCAGGTGCTGATCACTTGTGTATGTTGCTATTTCAAAGACTATATATCCCTTATCATTGTTTCTTTATGTTTGGATTGCTGCAAAGGAGTCGAGGTTGAAAAGATACCTTGTGAGCAGAACATTCCCATGGAAGGAGGGCTTAATGTGACCACGCCCCAACAGCAAGAGCAGAGCCTTGCGGAGGGATCCTTGTGCCGAGCAGAAAGCAGGAGTCAAGTTGGGAAGAGCAAGAAAGGTGACCTTTCAGAGAAGAGTTTACAAAGCACAGACGACATGAGGGACCTCCAGACTCCCTCTGGGCCTCTTGGGCATCATGTAACTCACAGTAGTGAGGAGCCACCCAGGAGCACTGAGAGAAGGAAGGCCATTCGCAGTAAGAAGAGGAACTTCAAATGCTGTGACTGTGGCAAATCCTTCAGTTGTAAGTCTCTGTTTATTCGACACCAGAGGATACACACCGGAGAAAAGCCTTTTAAGTGTGGGGAATGTGAGAAATCCTTCATCCAAAAGGCTGACCTGAATCAACATGTCAAAGTTCACACTGGAGAGAAGCCTTTCAGATGCAGTGAATGTGGGAAAGATTTCAAACATAACCGCTCCCTTGTTGGACATCAAAGACTTCACACTGGAGAAAGACCTTATAAATGCAGCCAGTGTGGGGAATCATACATGAACAAATCCAGCCTCATCCGGCATAATCGAGTTCATACTGGAGAAAAGCCTTACAAGTGCAGCGAGTGTGGGAAATTGTTTAAGGAGAGATCCAGCCTTGTTTACCATGCACGTGTGCACACTGGAGAAAGGCCTTTTGAGTGCAGCGAATGTCGGAAGTGTTTTAAAAAGAACTCACACCTCGTCAAACACCGAAAAGTTCACAGTAGAGGGAAACTTTTTAAGTGTAACGTGTGTGGGAGATCCTTTACTGTGAGGTGCAGCCTCATTAAACACCAGAGATTCCACACTGCAACAAAGCATCATGAGTGCAAGGAATGTGGTAAAGTGTTCTGCTACAGGACTGGACTTTCTAGACACCGTAAGACTCACGCTGAATAGAAGCATTGAATACAGGGATCATGGGAAATCATTTTCATTGTCTACTGTCCGTGCACAAGAGAATGTTCACTGGACACAAGTCAAGAATGCTTCAAATGTGAGGAACCCTCACCCACACCTCCATCCAATTGAATTGGAGAGGTCACAGAGCTGGGATGCATCCTGAACCCACTGACTCTAGGAAAGCTTTGAGCAGATGTCTGCTCTTATTAGTGATAGCCACACAACCCAGTTAGGTCTGTGAATGCAAACAAAAGTCTCCAGCCGTTGGCCAACCTTGTTTAGCCTTAGGAGTGAGCCAGAGTCTGAAGAGAAGTCCTGAGAGTGGCCTTCGTGAGGGAGCCATTCAATGAATGTTACTCAACAATAAGAACATTGGGACAATATGAAAATTATTGCCATCTTTCTATTCCCAAGAAATTGGTGCTTTCTAGGAAACTTAGCAAGAAGAAACCCTGTGGGTTTTGTTTTTTTTTGTTTTTTTTTTTTTTTTTTTTTTTTTTTGGTTTTTTTTTTTGCTGTTGTGTGTTTTGCTTTTTTGTTTTGCTTTATTTTGTTTTGTTTTTTGCTTTGTTGAGACAGGATTTCTCTTTGTAGCCCTGGCTGTCCTGGAACTCGTAGTGTAGACCAGGCTGGCCTCAAACTCCAAGATCAGCCTGCCTCCACCTCCCAAGTGCTGGGATTAGAGGTACACGCACCACCACCGCTAGGTCAAGCCCTGTGTTCTTGACTGCACCAGTGTGGAGTGGAGTTTCATGTTACTGAGTTTGGATGGAGGAGGAACAGTGGTTTATGTTTAAATAAGACATGGCTTTTGTTGTTATTGTTTGTTTTGCTTGTCTTCTCACTGAATGCTGCAGTTCCTGGAATAAATGATTGTTTTCCGTATAGTCTTCATAACCGTCACGTCTGCACGTGTCACTAGTTTTGTTGGGGACCTTACGCTCTCATGTAGGTACGCAGCCCTTATGCTTTAGGTTTCTGTTGTTTTCTCAGGTGTAAATATTTGTCTGCACATCTAGGTACACCGAGTGCATGCCTGGTGCCTGTGAAGGCTCAAAAATGGTATTGGATTGCCTGGAACTGGAGTTACAGATGGTTATGAACCAGTGTGTGTCCTGGAAATGGAACCCAGGTCCTCCGCAACAGCAGCATGAGGCCTTAAGTACTGAGCCCTCTCTCCAGCCCAGGTTTAAGTTCTGAAGAAGTTCCAGACTCAGATCTAAGTGACTGTGTGCTTCAGATTTCCCCCCGCAGTATTTCAGAGTCCAATTTGTCACATCCTCCCTGACACTTTGTGAGTTGTGAGGTGTCCGCATGAATCATTTTAATGTGGTGGTATATAACTGTAGTTTTAATTTTGTGTTATCATCTTATATTATTATAAAAATATATTTAATTCTGTGGGTTTATATTAGAGCTTCCACGTATGGGTGTGCATCACATTTATGTCTGGTACCTTGCAGGTCAGAGTACCCATCAGAGTCCCCTGAACTGCAGTTACAGATCCTCGTGAATACCTAGTCAATGCGGGGAATGGAATCAAGGTTATCTGCAATAGTAGCAACTACTGTTAGTCAGTGTGCCACTTCTCTGTTCTCACTCAAGTTTCTTTTGTTCATTCATTCGTTCCTTCCTTCTTCCTTTCTTTTTTCCATTCTTCCTTTCCATTCTTCCTTTCCTTCTTTCTTTCTTCCTTTTTTCCTTTCTTTCTTTCCTTCTTTCTTTACTCTAGACATAGTCTAGACTGACTTAGAATTCAATGAGGTTCACCTGCCTCTGTCTCCTGACTACTGATGTTAAAGATGTGAACTATCACTCTTAGTACCCACATTTTTTTTTTGCTAATTTTCTTTTATTATCTACTTTTTTCTTTTTGTTTGTATGTGTGCTTATTTAAAAAAAGAAAAGAAAAAAACTGGTTTGCAAGCTGGGGATTGGAGGCACATGTCTTTAATCCAAGTGCTGAGAGACAGAGACAGGTGGATCTGTGAGTTGGAGTAAAATCTGGTCTACATAGTGAATTCCAATGCATATGCCTCTCTCTATACACACACACACACACACACACACACACACACACACACACACACACACA